GTGGGTTGCACTGAATGATAAACAAATAGCCATCAGAAATCTTATCCAAATGCCAAACCCCATGTACCTGAGTGAATTGTTTACACTTCACTGCAACATAAATATCAATCTAAGGGTAGAGAATGGTAAATTCTTCCCAGACCTGACTTATGCAAACTTTTCTGGATACCAAAAAAGGTGACTGGAGTTAAATGTTAAAGTCTGTCTTCAAACTTGGAATGGGTCGGTGATGAGCACAGCAATTATTCCTCCTCATATGTAACCCAGTTACTGCAAGGTGAGAACAGCTGGTGGCTTCTGTGAAGGAAGTTGTGTGTCCTCAGTGCACACAGGGACAGGCAAAAAGACGAAGAGCTGTTTGGACATGGAGCCAAGTTACCCTCCACATCAGGGTGAAACACATTAGTGAGTGCCGAGGAAGCTGCTTCTGCTGTCACTCCCTGCAGTTTAGCTGGTCTGCGAAAAAACAACCTTCCTGCCTTGCTGGGGCTGTCAATCCCATACCCAGCAGGAGATGTTGGATGTGATTTTCACTCACACAGAACCAAGTGGCTACACATCACACAAGCCAGATGAAAAATCACCTCATCAGAAGATTACTGGGGAGGATCTTGTGGAGAGGAGAATTAATGCTGCTGACTTGTGTCAGCTACAAGACAAAGATCCAGAAACAACTATGAGAACTCCATAAGAAAGAGAGGGACCTTCAGTGCTCAGCAGCAAGTCTGCTCACACACATGTGCACATGGAATCAGCAACAGGTGCTATAAATACAAGCAATATGGATATTTTCACCTTTGTTTTCTTCTGGTTTTACTTTACACACCTTTTTTGCTCAACAAGACTAAGAAATCAAAGAGCAAGAGCTGCTTAGTAGGTGAAATTCACCTTTGGGCAGAGGATCCCACAAGTCATCACATAAATGGCCTGATTTTCTTTATAAAGGATTTCAGTTGAAGCCACGGCTCCCCTTGCTTGGACAACCATGGAAGTTCCCACACCTCTCCAGGTCAGGGAAAGGAAAGAGGCCCACACAGCCTCATTCTTCAAGGACTTGGAGAAAAATAAAGTAAATAATTCCCCCTTTGCAGTCCTGTTTAAGATTTCTCTTACCCTAAATTCCTCTCACAGACAAAAATACTCGGGTTGGTTTCCTTTGGATTTAGCTATCCTGGCACTGCAGACTTTTCCCACTTGAATAGAAGATACCAAGTTTTCACTGGTTTTGCTCGAGAAGAAAGATGTCCCTGAAAGCTGACTGTATGTACTTGAACATTCGTGACACAAGAATTTCCTAATAAAAATGTTTATCAACTGCATATGGATATTCCTTTCCTGATATAATTTTAATTCATATTCATCTCATCAACTAGCCACATTATCTCACCTTCATGATTTAAACACTCCTGGAACATGATGTGAAAAGCCAATGCACTAAAGAACTAGGTCACTTAAAACTAGTTCATATGCCATGCCCTTAATTTATTATAGTATGAAAACATTTACCTTAGGTCCTTTTCTGAACGAGGTTCATGATCAGCTCCCAGCTTCTCTCATTATATTTATATACATGGCATTACTACATTGGTAATAAAGTTAAATGAAACGGCTTCCAGCACGCAGAAGCAATTGCCTCCCTCTCTCACACAGGAACCAATTCCTATGTGTCCATTAGAAGACATTATATTTTGGAACTAGCACATTCACAATCCCTGAATTATTTGTAGATTAAATGATTTGAAAAACGTGTAATGAATTTGCTCTCATGCAATTTATAAAACTTAGCAGACTTCCAAGACTTCTTCATCATCAAAACATCCTTGTAGTTGGACCAAGACATTCTTACATGCAGGCTGCTACTGAATTACTAATCACATTTATCCCTACAAATGGATTTAACTCCTGACCTATAGTGCTCGTTGCAGAGTCCCACAAGCGTCAGGGGCAGAATTTAGCTTGGTCTCTTGGCAAACCACAGATTGAACAACTCTGCAACATTGATTTCTAGTTACAGAAATTGCACATTTCAGTTCTATCACTGTTCCTGCAGCGCTGACAAACCCAGAGAGATTTTGACTTCAAAAAGTCAAATTATGGAAGGGAAATTATTATCTAAGAGGTTTATAATAGATACCTTTGCTATGTCACTGCATCATACACATTCTGATAAAAGCATGACAAACATTTCTGACAAATTATACAGAATGGCCATTATGGAAAAGTCTTTGCCTCACAGGAATCCAAATGCATCTTCTGGTGACATTATACTTACTGCCTCTTTGGTGTCTCTCAGCTCATTTCCCAGCTTTCCACTTACTGATGATAAACAGTAGCTGCAATGGCACAAATAACACAGAACCAGAACAGCACTATCTGGCTGTTGGAAAATTAAAAAAGGAAAATAATAGTAAACTACATGAGTTGTACCCTCTCCCCTTTGTCTTAGTTACAGTGAGCACGACAGAGTTAATGTCTTTTTCCCCTGCACTTATAAACCATCTTCCCATTAAGGTATCTTGGCAGTGTTTGCTCCTTTTTCACTGAGCATATATCACTGGATGTTTACTATATTGTTCCTTCCTGCTTCTGAGCAAAACCACCCACTGAGATTTTGGAGACAGCAGCCAGACAGACTGTACACATAAAACTGCCAGCCTTAATGCTTTTATGCCTCATTAGCTGACCTCCTGCTCCTTTCTGCACTTGCCCAGGATTTCTAGATGTCCAGCAGCAGTGTAACACATCTCTCATGGGAGAGCAGCTCTGTGGTCTCTGTCCCACAATGGATTACAATACACCACAATAGATTAGATACACCAGACAAACTCAGGGAAGTGTCCGTGTCCATGTGCAGAGCCCAGAGGTGGCTTGTGCCAGTGGAACTTCACTGACATCTCCTTCGCTGAGACCAGAATTAATTCCTGAGATTTTTTATTATTCAGAAACAAAAAGGACAATATTGTAGTGTGGTCTTGCTTAAAGCACTGCCACAGTAATATCATCTGTCTGCTCAGGTAGTTCTGGTGTGTAAACAGTCATAGAAAACACATTAGCAAATTGCTTTGGAACAGTAATAAACATAATAAATAGATGAAATTGTGTTCTAAGAAAGTGTTTTTCTACAAAGCATTCAGAGAGAGACCAGATCTATGAAGCAAGAACTCAAGGAAAAACACCCTAGAACTGGCAGTCCTGTTGATTATACCCAGAACAGCCTATTTCAATACAAGCAAAGCTCTCCCCCTCTCTTCCTCCGAGATCCTTCTTGAAACCCATCTGTTCTGTGGTGCACTGCACTTAACAAGAGCCTCCCACCACGCTGTTCCAGCATTGTAACACTCAGTGTTGTCCTATGCCGCTCCAGTCTGTACTCCTAAAGCACAAGTTCTTCCAGAGGGAAGCCCTTCTGTTTATGGGACACAGTTATCCCATTGTACTCAGCCCTCTGTGCTTCCATCGCTGCAGAAACTACAGCGTGGCTGAGGAGGGAAGGCTTTGCAGTTGGGCAAAGAGCAGGATTTTATTGCTGGGGTTCAGCACTGAGGTGCAGTTTGAGGACATTAATGCAGTTAATGTGATATTCACCCTTCCCCCCACAGGGAGTGTCTGTGATGGCACAGAGCCATTTCGGAAAACTGCAGCCATGGCAGCTGTGACAAAGTCGTGATCACAGGTATGAGGGTACCCTCTGCAAGTTCACTGGTGACACTGATCTGTGGGGCTGTCACGCACTGGAGGAACAGGATGGCATCCAGCAGGACCTGGACAGGCTTGAGAGGTGGGACTGTGCGAAGTTCAACAAAGCCAAGTTCAAGGTCCTGTGCCTGGGTCCAGGCAATCCCAGGCACACCTGCAGGTTGGGTGAAGGATGGATTGAGAGCAACCCTGAGGAGAAGGGCTTGGGGCACTGGTGGGTGAGAAGCTCAACATGCCCTGGCCATGTGCCTTCACAGCCCAGACACCCCCTGTGTCCTGGGCTGATCCCACAGTGAGGGCAGCAGGTGAGGGGGGGATTCTGCCCCTTTGCCCCACTCAGGTGAGACCCCACCTGCAGTGGGACCTCCAGCTCTGGGTCTCCAACATAAGAAGGACATGGAACTGCTGGAGCAAGTCCAAAGGAGGCCATGAAGTCGATAAGGCTACTAGAGCAACCTCTCTATGAAGTGAGACTGAGAAAGTTGGGGCTGTTCAGCCTGGAGAAGAGAATGCTGTGTGGAAACCTCAAAGGACCCTCCAGTTTCTGAATGGGCTACATGGAAGCCAGAGAGGGACTCTTTGTCAGGAACAGGAGTGACAGGACAAGGGGGAATGGCTTCAGGCTGAGAGAAGGGAACCTGACACCCCAACAATCCCACCATGTGCCTGAGACAATTTGTCCAAATGCTCCTTGGGCTCTGCCAGGCTCATTCCCTCAGGTCACCAAAGGTCACTGGTCACCAAAGACCTGTTCAGCCTGGAGAAGAGAAGATTCAGGGTGACCTAATTGTGGCCTTCTAGTGCCTGAAGGGAGCCGACAAGAAAGATGGAAAGAGGAGGGTCTGAGGGCACTTGGTCTGTTCAGCTGGAGAAGAGGAGGCTGAAGGGAGACTTCATTGCAGTTACAGCTTCCTCGGGAGGGGCAGAGGAAGGGCGGGCACTGAGCTCTGCTCTGTGGGGACCAGGGACAGGACCCGAGGGAACGGCTGGAGCTGTGTCAGGGCAGGTTTAGGTTGGATATCGGGAAAAGGTTCTTCCCCCAGAGGGTGGTGGGGCACTGACCAGGCTCCCCAGGGCAGCGGGCACAGCACCATGGCTGACAGAGCTCAAGGAGCCTTTGGACAACGCTCTCAGGGACAGGGACAGGACTCGACGATCCTTGTGGGTCCCTTCCAACCCAGGATATCCTGTGGCTCTGCGACTATTTACAAGGCCCTTGAGTGACACGGAAACGGCTTCAAACTAAAGGAAGGTGCCCCCGCCTCACGCAGCCCCGCGAACGGGGCCGCTGCGGCTTTAAGGAGGCGGGTTTGCGGTGTGTGTGGGGCTCGTCATGCGCGCAGGGCCGGGGCCGCCCCGGTGCCATGAACAGCCATGTACCGCCTGGCCCGGCTGTGTCCCCGCCTGTGTCCCCACAGCCCGCCGGGCCCCGCCGGGCCCCGCGTCCCCCGGCCCGCCTGGGCCGCGCTCCGGCCGCCGGTGCCGCTGCCGATCCCCCGGGGATGCGCCGCCGGCAGCTCCGCCAAGGTACGTGAGGGGGGCGAGGGGGCGCCTCTCGGTGGAGCGGGCGAGCTTTGGGTTAAAGCACAAAATGCCCTGACTCCCAAGCGTTTTTCGGGTTTTTTTTGGGGTGCCTTTAGAAGTTCGGTCCCACCCATCCCACCCCCCCAACCCGGGGGCATGGGATCATGAGATCGTGTTTATCCCCGGTTTCTGTAGGAGACGGGGGGAGCTGTTTTACGCCTGCTGGTGCCAAGACTGTGAACGTGAGCTTTCCGATACGCCTCGTTTATAGTTTTAATTTCTGCATTTTAATTTGCGGGGTGATTTCTGTAGCCTCGTTACAAAGCATAACAGGATGTTTCAGACGCGTTTTCATGCCTTAAATCACCGAAATTATGTGAATAAAATTGTGTTTCTAGCAGAAATACTGTAGCAGCAGCAGCTTTCTTTGCTAAGCTGTGCATTATTCAGGGCATGACCACCCTGGGTGGTCCAAATAACATCTGCTGAAGTGATTCTATTTTAACGTCTTTCTTCAATATCATTCCAAAATTGCCTGGTGTGTGAGACTGGGAACAGGGGTGAATACATATAATCCATCTGTACCACAGTTCCCCTGAGGCTCATGTACCTCTGTAGTTTGTCAGATCCTGTTTTCTCAGCAGCTTTCTGAGGAAAATCCACGTTTGGCTCCTTAAATAGGTAACGATCATCTTTGTTCGTATGAAAAATTCACTGTAAGCTATTAAATTTTAAAATACCATTCAAACCATGCTTGGCTTTTAAGAAAATGATGCTGTAAAATAAATGAGTGTTCTTGACTAAGCATGTGGCAGTGATTGAATTGTTGGGACAGCTTTTGGCAGAAGGTATTATGAAACTATTTTGTTATTCAGATAGTTGCATTCAGTAACTCAGTATTTAAATTTTACAAGCTGGGAGTCAAAACAGCATTTTTCCCTCCTCCCCAGTAAATAATTCCTTCCTATAATAACACTGAAGAATAAGAGGGTGAGTTCTGAAACACAATGAAGCAGCAGCCATGGAGTACAATCATGGAATCTAATTCCTTCCGGGGGCTGAAAGTAATTAGAGTGTCTAACTATGAATCCATTCTTTTCTTTAGTGAGCTTGCTTAAAAAATGGTTTTGAGTGTTTTTTTCCTCATTTGCCAAATCCTGAGGCTTTTGTAGCAATGCTTTCTTCCTGTTGGTATTTCTTCTCTGGCAAGCACAGGGGCTGTCTTGTTGCTATCAACAGTGTCTGATTTCAGTTTGCTTTGGGGTCTGTTTAGTGTGAAGTTTTGCACTTTAAATGTGCCCAGATAAAAAGCTGTCAATCACTTCTACTCTGACAAACATTTTCAGTGCAGTTGGGCTCTTCACACCAGCCCTGGCATGTCCTTGTAGTTGTTGTCTACACCGTGGCAACAGAATTGCTCGTTGCTGTCAACACTTGCAGTTCTGCAGTTCTTCCTTTTATCAGCTGATCTACACAGGATGATTTATAGGAACTTAAACATTGGATTTCTTCCACCAATGAGTTATTACTAAGCCAGCAGCAGCCTGGTATCAGGTTGGCTTCCAGTGCCACCAGCTGCTTAGCCCTGGAATAAAAAGCTGCATTCCAAGAATTCACTGCAGAAAGCTGAGCAGTGGGTGTAAGCAAGGGGCTCTGCCACCTCAGTCTCATCTCTCTCTTTGTGTGGGTGTGCCTCCAAACACATTTGGATAAAATAATCTGATTTTAATTATGAAAATTGAATTATGCAAGAACTTACACCAAGCTCAGTGTATCCCTTTGATAGGAATACTTGGGAAAAGGGACCTTGCCTGGGCTCTGCCACAGGCATCTGCTCTGCTGATGTGAAAGAGCAGAAGTGTGTTACTGTTTTCCCAAATCACTGTTTGCAGGACACTGCTTTCATTATTTCACATTGGTTCAACTGACCTTGTGCTTAATACTAATAAATACTTTTAATTGTTTTCTCTTTAGGATGCACGTGAACCCCCCAAATACACAGCCACTGATCCCAGTGGGGAGAACAAGAAACTCAACAAATCCCAGCAGCTGAAACAAGTTTTTAAAGAATATGGTGCTGTAGGGGTTTCATTCCATGTTGGAATTTCATTAGTATCTCTAGGAATCTTCTACCTGGCTGTGTCAAGGTGAGGTTTGTACAGTTGTCTGTTGCCTCAAAGTAGTGGTTTGGCCAAGAAAAATATATTAAGCATTGTGCTTATTCCTGGCAGGAGACGTGTACCTTATGCCTGTAGGATCTATACACAGTAACCTGAATTTTGAGTGTGGATGGGTCCATAAGTGGGTCTGATCTCCCATCAGCCATGAGAGAAGTTGTGCATGATATTTTTGCACAGTTTTACCGTCAGTGAAAACAGCAGAGACTGCACCAGAGTAACTGAACAGAGGAAAGAATGTCTTTGTTTGGCAGAGATATCTCTTGTTCTCACACAGTGCCATGGTCTGTAGAGATAGAGCCATGCAAAAGCATTGGGGCTTAGAGATAAACTTATTTTTCTGGGTGTTGAACACAGTTTCTGCAGTTCAACTGCGGGAAACAACGGCCACTAAAACAGGATTAGAGTAAAAAGAACATGCAATGTATACAGAAATTGTGTGTGTGGCTTTGGTGGGAGTGCATCAGGTACAAATGTCTGCTGAAATGAGGTATTTCAGCTGAGGAGACAAACATTCCCTGCTGCTTCCTCCTGACTCCAGTGGGAATACAGGAATTTCTCCCATTTACTACTTTGTGGCACAGGGTGACAATGAACTCCCAGTTAAAAGGTACTGTACTGGCAACTGAAGGGAGAAAAGTCACACTAACATCTTCTTTTGAAAAATTGCTCCAAACACAGGAACCTTGATGAAAGCTGCTATGTGTATAGAGAACTAAAATATTCATGGATTTGGTGGATAATGCTCATTTGAGATCCATACTACTTCCTTCACTTGCTAGATTTTAGATAAGATACTTCTCATTGTAGCAGCTTTGTACCCCTGTGTTAGAACACTCTAAGCCCAACAACAGGTACCTCATTTGGTTTGCATTATTCTATGTTTAAGTGATACATTTCCTCCAGAGACAGGATAGACTTTATTGTGAAATTTGGAAAGACACATTTCCAACACAGATTCACACTAACTTTTTGAAAATCCCTGTGTGGAAAAACAGATTATTTTCTCTCCAAAGGTTGAGCTGAAGGGTTGGAACTAGATGATCTCTAAGATCACTTCCAGCCCAAACCATTCTGTGATTCTATCAGTATTTTCCATGCACGTGCTGCAACTGTACATTTGGAAAACTGAGGAGATATTTGACTTCACAAGGAACTTGCCAATTTAAGAAAAAAATTGAAATCAGGAAATACTGCATGTGTTGTTGATACAGAAGTAATTTAAGCTGTTACTGCTGAAATAACCCATCGTTTTCAATATTTAACAGCATCTACTTTGCACATCAGTTCCAGAGCTGGAAGTGTGCCACGTTAAACTGCACTTTATATTTTAAAAAATACAAACCTTAGAATTAACTAAAGGAGTCTTGTTCTCTGTCCCCCCAGTGGTGTGGATATGACTGCAGTTCTCCTGAAGCTTGGTTTCAGTGAATCCTCCCTGCAGTCCAGGATGGCTGCAGGCACCAGCACCTTCGTCCTGGCCTATGCTGTGCACAAGTTGTTTGCTCCGGTCCGGATCAGCATCACAGTGGTTTCTGTGCCCTTTGTTGTCCGGTACTGCCGCAAAATCGGGTTCTTCAAACCTCCTGCCTCCAACCCATGATGATTTGTCACTGGATTTGGGTTTTTAAATGCTCCATATCCACAAAGTTTCTTTAAAAGACTTCCTTGGATTCTATGTTCGTGCTGACTTCACCTTGCATTTCTGACTTGTTCTTTCAGGTAAATGTCACTGTGAAAAATGCTATCCTTACCTTCTTTCCCTTTTGCCACCTCTCCTTTGGAAAAACCTGTTAAAATGGTATCTGGTTTGCACTGCAGCTAGTAGTATAAATGCTTTACAACGAGCAGTCTCTTAACACATCCTGGGGCTTTACAATCTTTCTTTTTGGGCCTTAATTTTTTTCCTTGTCAGAACTGAGTCTCAGCATTAGTTCATTACTGTGTAGCTGAAAAACAGTAAGATTCTTTTTCCAGTAGAATAATATCCTACTACACAGGTAGTTCTTTTGGTAAGGGTTTATATTGGAATCTAAAGTGGCAAGTGGATGTTTTTTTTGTTAGAAAAGGGTTTTATTATGGCCTGTCTTGCAGTACAACACATACACTGAACTAACTTTAGTGGGAGTACCCCTGTGATTAATTATTGCAGTGATAATTGTTTTAGCCAGAATAGGTGGTGCACTGGTCTGAAACTACAGCTCCATTGTACTGCTTCCATATTCCAAGATTTTATTGTTTGAAAATGTGTTTTATTTATAGGCTGGGAGCTGGTCTTACTGAACTGCTTTACTTTAATTTTTTTTATGCCTATAGTCTCAGAAGGGATCTTGAGTCTACTGAAATCAGTGTAACCAGAGTTACCTCCTATGTGAACACGCTCCAAAGAGAATCAAGTCAGAGACAAGCTGTGGTGTTTTAATGTCTTGAGATCTGGCTTTGTACCGGAAACACATTTTTATCTTAAAAGTAACCCAAGCAGTTTCTGCTCCTGGGGAGGAGTCTTAAACCTGCACCCAAAGTCCAGACATTCCAATTCATGGCTTCTGAGGAACAATTCCTATGGTTTTGACTGAGACTGGTGAATGTACCAATTAGAGCTGCTTTTCCTTTCCTTATTCTATTTTTCTGCTTCTCCTTCCACTTCTATTAGAATGTAGATACACATGTGCATTTTCACATTCCACCTTCCAACTAAAGACTGAATCCCAAAACTGAGTAGTCAGGGTAGCACTCTGGGGTAAGCCTGGCTTTGAGACTCAGAACTGTGCTGGTGTGAGACAGGCTGAGCCAGATCTGTGGTGTTTTGGACCTGTTCCTCCTTCCAGGTCTTTTCACCTTCTCTTTGTCCTTACACTGGCCCCAAGGTGGCTCTGACACATCTGCCCATAGAGGAATTTGATTAAAGTAAAAGAGAGGAAGTTGCCCTGATGATCAACTTTTTTTTCTGAAATTTAGTGAATTAAGAGGAAGGAATCATGAGATGAGGATGAGAGTTGGCTGAGGGAGAGAAAAAGCAAATAACTTCTTGTTATGAGCAGCCTATTGCCATAAAATTAAATTGCACCTTAACTCCTTCCTCACATAGAAAGTCCAATCCAGAGGCAGGTTGGATGCACTGAAGTTCCCCAGCTCCATCTGTACAAAGATAACAGAATTCCAGAATAAGTATGAGGCAGCCTTGTTTTCTTCATTTAGAATCAGTTCTGATAAGTCTGTTTTGTCCTAAACTTGAAGGAATAGTCAAAGCTTGTTCTTTCTCAAAAATCACATGTAAAGCTGGAATCAGTTAAAGCAAATGTACCTAAAAGTCATTAGAAGGCTCCAGCACTAAACTAATTTTCTTGATGTAAAAACAAACAGCTTCATATAAATTATGACCAGAATTCAGATTACTTAAAATAAAGATGGTTTTATAAACTACTAGCAATTTGTTTAGATGAAGGGGGTTTTTTGCAAAGTATATTGTATATTTTAAATTAATTTGAGAATATATATTTTGAAGTGCACCTTACATCAAACCCACAGTTACCTGGATTTCAAGTATATTAAATATTCCACAAGCTTCAGCTAGAAGTCAAGAACTTTATGTTGCAATTAGAGTGTAAGAAAACAGCCAAATAATAATAAAAGAATTCCAGAATAAGTATGAGGCAGCCTTGTTTTTTATTTAGAATCAGTTCTGCTAAGTCTGTTTTGTCCTGAACTTGATAGAACAAGCTTTTACTCTTCCTTCTCTTTCTCAAAAATCACATGTAAAGCTGGAATAATTTAAAGCAAGTGTCATTACAAGGCACCAGCACTAGTTTTCTTGCTATAAAAAGAAACAGCTTCATATAAATTATGACCAGAATTCAGATTACTTATAATGATGGTTGTATAAACTACTGGCAATTTGTTTAGATGAAGTGTTTTTTTGGCAAAGTATATTTTAAATTAATTTGAGAATATATTTTGAATTCTAGAATCCTTGCTTGTAAAAGGATCATTTTTTTAAAAGCGTTTGTAAAATAGTGAAGACGACATTGAAGTCTTATAATGAAAATACAATAAATTGCTTTCTCTTAGTTTGCATGAAGTGTTTTACTGGAAAATAGTTGGTCTGCAGATTTTGGTGGCAAAGGTCCTGACCCTTGGTACATTTTAAAGAATGTCTTCCAATGCCAGACATTAATATGACATATCCGATTTGATAACAATACTTTCCAGACCTTTCTCTTAGAAGTGCTTGCAGATCATGTTGTGTTTGAATGAATTCATTTAAGAAAGGACAAAGCAGGCTAAAGTCTAAATAAATTACCAAGGTAAGGAGCAATACCTTTGGTACTTACCTTGTAATCCTGATTTGGGATTGAGGGATAGTCATTCATGCTAATTTAAGATAGTACTTAAGTGCTTTTTTTCCATTAATGCAGTTGCTGTTAATTAAGTGTACCTGCTTGGTGGTACCAGCACTCTGAAAAGAACTTTATACCAGCTTCCTTTTTGACAGAGGTGGGAATTAAACTTACTCAGTGACCACAGAGGAGGAGTTCAGCTGTGCTGCTGTTAGAGACAACCAGTGCCACAAGGAACCCCACCATGCTGGCTGCAGTGTAACAAATCTTTATTTCAAAGTTGAGTGCTCACATTGAAAACAAACTAGAGACAAAAAATATCTGACACATCATTTTTAAAGCACTTGAGAAATGCATTCAACTCTCTCAGTCTCAGGTTACACCACAGTTAAGACACCCTTAGCAGCCCAGGAAGCGAGGAGCAGGTTCCTCCAGGATATTGCACTGTTCAATGAGCCAAAGCAACAACTTCCTCTGGTTGGAACAACAAACCATTACCAGCACTGACCACAAGAGCCTTGAACAGCTTAACACTTACATCAAACCTGGCCCACAAGTACCTGGATATCAAGTATATTAAATATTCCACAACCTCCAGCTGGAAGTCAAAGAACTTTATGTTGCAATTAGAGTGTAAGACAACAACAAGGATTCCAATTGCCATTAGATTCCAAGACCTGCTTTTCCTATTTGTAAGCATTACAGTAGTCACAGTACAAGACTCCTCTTGTTGATCCCATGAGGTCCTCCTAAAACTACGTTTTGGATGGGGCAGCAACATCACTCTTTCTGCTGCTGGGCATCTTTGTAGAGTTTGCCGTGATCCAGGGGTGGAGAAGAACATCCTTCAGGGGCAGTCGATGGAATGGGTTGTGCTTCAGAAGCTTGGAAATTAAATCCCTCGCGCCTTCTGTTACAAATGGAGGAAACTTGAACTCCACCTAAGAAAAAAAGGACACTAAAGATGAGGGAAAAGTTCATCATAATCCTGAACAAGGCTCTCACTGCTTGTAGAAGTATTTGTATAGTTGTGTATATTTTCAGCCTGCTTCAAACAAAACTAGTTTGCTGAAACCTTTCTGGGGTATGCAACAGGAAAAGTTATGTATTTTTAATAACACCTTGAATGTTAAATATTCACTTTATCAATTAGAAAAGCTGTTAGAAGGTGAGTTGCTTTATGAAACATAGAAATTCAGATGTAGGCAGAAACAGGGTAGAACCAAGGAAGCAAGACAAGGTATCTTGAAGTCTCTTTATAGTCATTGCACTGAATGACTGAAGACAGTTTTGGGGATACAGTTTTACACAGATCGTTATGTCATGCAACAGTTCTAGTGAAAATCCATCTGTCATTCAAAATTTCTAGAGCTGAAAGGCAACTTGTCCAAATAAGCACTGGCACTTACCCTAGAAATAGCTCTGTAGGTTTCCTGATACGTTGTTGCTTCAAATGGTGGTTTCCCTACAAGGAATTCATAGCACAGAACTCCCAGGCTCCAAATATCCACCTTTTCATCGTGTGTTCTTCCCTCAATCATTTCAGGAGGGAGGTAATCAAGTGTTCCACAGAGAGTTGACCTTCTGCAGGAAAGTCCAAGTTAATCACTGATTATGGCAATTATAGGATCTATTTCCAGAGACAGATAAAAACTAATGCTGACCATCATCAGTACCTCAGTATAGTCCACCTGAATGGGCTCAGCACCACCAGAATATCTGGCAAAGAACTGCCAGCAGTACATTTTCTCCTTCTATCTCAGTCCCTGCAATCACTTTCCTCTCCTTTTTTCACCTCACCTGCGAGAACAAATACAGTCCTCCTTTTTTAGGTGCAATTTCACACTCAGTAGGAAATAACCATATTGCCAGTATTGGTCTGTCATCTCAGAGACCACTGTAACCCTACACCAAACCCTCTTTCAGGGTCAGCAAGGTTTGAACTGTTGAAAAAACAGGATAACAACACTCCTCTGCTACACCAGTTCACTATTAAGACCTTTGTTGTGGTAGCACTTTTTCCCAGTATTTTAAGAAGTTCATTCCACAACTGTGTGACAAAAAAACTGCTATTTTCACTAGAGAAAGATTTCACTACATTGAATTCTCACCTAGAAGATGGAGCATGCACTGACCACCCAAAGTCAGCGATTTTTAATTCTCCATTTGAGCCAAGAAGCAGGTTTTCTGGCTTTATGTCGCGGTGAATGACGCTCTTCGAGTGACAGTATGAGAGGGCATCTGCTAGTTCGGTGATGTACTGCGTTGAGAGAGAACAATCTTTAATAAAGACATTGTCACTAGAGTTTATCTGGCTGCAGTACAGCTTTTTCTAGGCATAATTAGTAGTGTTAAGTTAAAGCAATTATTCCTTAAACCCTTGAAATCTGGCAATACAGGCTATGCCTGAAGTGACCAAGCACTTGCAAAATCAAGCAGTTGTGAACATACGTTATTACACAGCACTAATGTAACTGTGTTCCCAACTTATTCCCTGTTACAAGCCCATATGCAAACCAGCATCCAAGGAATCTCAGTGTCATAGCAGAATACAGAACTTTATGTGAAGAGCTGGCTTTATCCTGCAGATATTCCAGCTACTAAAAGTGATGTATAGGAAGCTGGAACAACCTACTGTAGCAGTTCTTTGTTCATCAAACTTGGTGAGCTTCTGAAGTTCTTTGTAGACTTCTCCACGAGGTGCATACTCCAGGATCAGGTAGACTCTGCTGGCATCATGGAAGTAGCCATATAATCTGAGAATGTTGGGGTGCCTGCAAAGAGATTTAAGTGTTATTCTGAACAAGGTATTTGTCCAAAACCTTTAATTTCCCTTTCCTGCCTCTCCCATTTCAAGACCAGCATGGGAACTTCATCTCATAAGTGTTCCTTCTGCTCACAACAAATCAAAAAGAGCTTCATAGCAGAGAGATGGTGTTCACCAAAGCAGCAGCTTAGAGCCCCTATTGGAAGCAGCCAGCCAAGAGTTTGGCTAATTCTTGTCTTCTGAACATAATTTTCTACAGCAGCTGGAAGACTAATTACCACTGAAGGTGCCAATTCCTATAGGTTTGGGAATTGAAGCTTAAGTATTTTCTGTGAAAACTCAATTTCTTCCTATTTTCCAGGAAGCAGAACACCAGAAACAAGCTCAGACACGAGAAATTGCAGCCACATAAATCCAAGCAGCATTTTTGTAATAGGAAGATTTGTTACCAGAAGTCACTTCATTGCAAGGTAGACAAAGGTAAATTATGGTGCAGAAAGGCAAAAATCCTGACTAGGAATACCAGGGTGTCATATGTTTAAAAAGAAACTTCTCTTTTCTTTCAAGAAAGAAGAAATCTTATCATAAAGAAACCTTATCATAATCCAGGTTACTTCATATATTTGAATGCAAACAAAGCAGAGTAATTAGTCACTAAACTTTACCTAAGATGGGACTGTATTTCAACTTCTCTTCTTAGTTGATGTTCTACACCAGCTTCTTCAAGTTGTGTTTTAAAGAGCACTTTCAGTGCAAGAATAAATTTACTCTGTTTTTCACGTGCCAGGTAAACGTTCCCAAATTTTCCTTTTCCCAAAGGACGACCAATTTCAAAATCTTCAAGGGACCATTGTCTTCTGCAAGAGGAAAGTTAAAAGCTAGATTCTTTTTTGGGCTTTGCCTCCTAAATTTACAGTCACTTTTAATGCTCCTGTTCAATAGATTCTTAGTGATTTTAGTCTTGAAGAGAACACCAGAAGACTAAAAGTATGCAATGAGACTTTCCAAAAGAAAGTTCTGAAAGCTGTTTTATTCCTTCCTAAAATTTATGCAGACTAACCTTGATAATAAATGGAGACTAACACCAACCACACTACTACAAAATCAAGACTGGCTCCTTTGGATACATTTAACACAAACACATCAGTAGTGCATGTCAGAACTATTTAAGGCAGCCACAAACAAATCCAACTTCATCCTGAATTAGACTCCAGCCTCTTGCCCAGATGAAGGAGGCTTTGTTTTCAAGAGTACATCTTGGAGCAGCAGCTATCAGTGTCCTCTCATGTGAAGAGCTACTATGCATTTATGCTAAATGCATAAAGTTTTGTTTAGTTTACAGCAAGTCCTTGTTCCTGAGAATTATCAGTTCAAAGGAAGATTTCCTAGTGATTCACATGTTGTCACTGCAAAGTGTAGGGATCATCAGTCTCCACAACTAAGGGGCTCAAGTAGCCTTCAGTTTAACTGTAGCATGAAGTTCTAGAAGTGAAAAACAAGCCTAATCCAACAGGCCTCACTTATCTAGAATTTAGGTATAAAACTTACTTTTTAGTCTCTTCACTTTTCTTTTTGGCAGTCTCTTCAGTTTTCTGTTTAGAGGTGCTTTCTGCTTCAGGATTTTTTGCTATGAACAGAGAAGTAAATCAATTTATGAACCAGACCTACAAACACTCACACAGGAACAAATCTAAGCTTTGTGCACTATCTGAAGACATTCTTAGAATACGTTCTATGACACTTAAAGCAACCTGGCATAGCTGACTGCTGGGAAGGAAAGAGGGCTAGCAAAATGTAATTTTAACAGTTTTCTTAAAAAATGAACCCCATGAGGTTCCCCCTACCCCCAAAGTATATTCTTGTGTGTAAAAGATTAACATCAATCCTCAAAAACCTGTGATATCTGAGTGCCAATTACATTAACTCACAGCTGGCCAGTGAGCACCTAGAAGCTTTTAACACA